AGTATCTTTCCCATTTTATAGATGGAACTACTGAGACACAGAGAGATTAAAGGGCATGCTCAATGACAAAATAAATTAGGGACAAAGCTAGAAGTATAATCTAGGCCCAAAGTTCTCTAATGATGTTTTCACTAGACAATAGAGTTAATATAGTCCATGCAATGAGTGCCAAAACATTTATGGTCACGAACAGGACTTGTGATCAAACACTGGTAAAGAGCCTAGAGGCTCTATTAGGAATTCTCTGAGATGTGCCGCTTGTTACCATGTTTTCTGTCCTCTGCTCTGAGCCAAAGAAAGACTTTAATGAAGACAATGTTAATATGGATGGAAGAAAAAAGATGACATACTGAAATACAGCTGAGTGGGTAGGCTGAGACTGGGGTTTAAATTCATCCATAAAATGTTTTGCATGTCTGCACCTGTATAATCTATACCAAATTGTTTGCCTTCTCAAGGGGGGGAAGGGGAGGGAGAAAAGGAGAGAATTTGGAACTCAAATTTTTAAAACACAAATGTTAAAAATTTTTTTACAAGTAATTGGAAAAAATATAAAAATTTTCACTTCAAAAAAAATTCATCCATAATCAGGAATGTGATTCAAAAAGGTTTCTTCTCTTCCTTTATGGAAGAACCTCACAAATACGAGGTGTTCCAAAAGCTTTAGTGAAACTTTTAAACAATTAAAGATTATAATCGCACCAAGATTTTTGGGACATTGTCTATTTCTGCCAGAGGGATGGGTATCAATGTTTTATCAGGAATGGCCTCTGCATAGTACAGCCCAAAATCCAGTTGGGTCTCTCTCCTTCGGGAAAATGCTAAATTCCTCTAGTTACAATGAAAGTGGAGAGGACTTAGAGGTGGCATTTACCTTGTGGGGCCCTAGCCTAGCACCTCTAAAATGTCTCAGGAAAGAACAACCTCTCTTGTACCCAGTGTGGAATTAGTCACTATGCCACAAATCTCAGAAACGTCTATCACAACTGTATTTTTAAACAGGCCTATGTGCCCTGTTTCTGCTTCTCATCACTTCAGCAGCTAATGGTGGGGGGTGGGGGGGAGAGGGGGAAGGAGAGAGAGAGAGAAAGAGAAGAAAGAGTGCCGAACTTTGATCTCGCTGGGACAAAGCTTTCTTTACTGCTGGAATATGCCTGTGTCCTTCGGGCTCTGCCAAATCTCTCTGTGAAGTCCTAGATCACTGATGTCAAATAGAAATGGGGACCACCAAACTCCCTGCAGGCTACATACTGACTTAGAAAACCAGAAATTAACGTTATCTATGTTATATTGTATTTTTGTTTGTTTTGTGAAACATTTCCCAATTACATTTTAATCTGGTTCCTGCTGTACTCAGGGGCGTTGTTGGCTAGATGCCACAGCCTTAGTGTAGTTTTAAGCTTAAAACTGCACTAAAACTTTTGGGACACCCTGCACATGAAATAGCTGCAAAAAACACTGAAATATTCGCAGACAGGTCCACATCAATGAGGATGACCCTCCAAAGGTAGTTTCCCAGTTACATCATCATACTGAGGCAGACAAGTGGTACAGTGGATAGAGACAGGGCCTAGAGTCAGGAAGACCTGTGTTCAAATCTGGCCTCAGACACTTAATAGTTGTGTAACTCTAAGCAAGTCGTTTAACCTGTTTGCCTCAGTTCCTTCAACTGTAAAGTGGGAATAATAATAGTACCTATCTTTCAGGGTTGTTATGAGGACAAACTGAGCTAATATTTGTAAGGTATGTGCTATATAAATGTTTATTTCCTCCCCCCTCATATCATTACCTTTTAAAATTGTTGCTTGACTTCTTCCCCCCACCCACAATCACAGACTGGAGTCTTTCCCATTAGAATTGAACTATAACAGAATGAGGAATTAAGGAATGGGGAAACACAGAAACAAAAGAAAATAGTAAGAGCTAACATTTATAGAGTGTTTTAAGGCTTACCAAAACACTCTGCATATAGTACATTTGAGTCTTACAACAACCCTGTGAGGGATATGGGACAGGTACTACTATCCCCCTCTGACAGAGGAAAAAATTGAGACTCAGAGAAATCAAGTGATTTACCCAAGGTCACACACATCAAGGAGTCCAAAGTTGAATTTAAGCCCAGAGCACCCCTCCACTCCATCACCCTACCTCCAGCTGAAGAAACCTTCTGCTGGGTCACCAAGGTCTACAGAGCTCAGAGTCAGGAGAAGACTCAAGTGGAATGTCATCCAAATCCTTTTGACAAAAGCCAAAACACACCCCAACGAGGGTGCCTTGGACATGATCTTTCAGTATCTTTTGCAAGGTGTTCGAAAATCTGTCACAACTCAGAAAAAAATGGAGTAGAGACAGGTGCTCATCAGAAAAGTTTGGAATGAGACAGACAGAAAGCCCAAACTGTCAGTCTGGCTTCACAAAAGGCAGGTGAGAAGGTAAAAAAAAAAAAATGAAACCAACTTCCTTTCATTCTCATCATTGGGTCTGAAATGAGTCAAGCCCAACAGAATTCCCAGATTAATCATGAATTCTTCTCCCCACACCCCACCTCGCAGCTTGCCCTACTACTCCAGCTCTATCTCTAGCAAACAAACTTGGGCAGTGTTTCCAGGGCTTTAAATCTAGTCTATCAGTATTCCTTGCCCCTTTACCTAAGGACAAAAGGACCACAGAAGTTGTAACTTGCCCAAGATCACATAGCAAATCAAAAACAGAGTCCAGGTAAGAAATCAGCAGCCCCAATTCCAAGTCCAGTCATTGCACAGAGCTGTAAACATGTTGTGATGACAGGGTCAGAGATAAACAGGAAAAGGCATCATCCACTTGCCTCTCTTGATCCCACTAGGCAAGTGGTGCTTGGGTCTTATCTTGCCTGTTCACGGCTCAAATCCAAGCTGCTGGGACCAACCTCAGTAGTAGTTTTCCCGAGTGGCTCCTACCCCTATCCCCCATCCTCTATTCCACACCCAAAACAAATTCTTGCTCTAGGGAGTACCGCAGCTAATACTAAGGACAGAGCTGCTGCTGCATCTGCCACTAGAGAGGATGGCAAAGTAACAGCCAGAGAGCTAGGAAAGATGTGGGTGGATAGAAGAGGTACAAGTCTCCATAAGACTGCCTTGTTGATAAGTACAAAATATTAGACTGCCCACTCACTGTTATCAGTTCACTCTCTGCCAGGAAGATAATACCCAGAATAAAATGAATGAAATTGGCAGTATTTACTATGTGCCCTTGGGCCAGTGTTGCTGGCCCTGGACAACTGGATATTTCCAAAGCTGTCTTAAGGGTATAAGGAGGGTTTCTTACTATTAGCAAGGAAACAGGGTTCTCCCAGTTTGAAACTCTGAGGAAAGGAAGTCTGTGAAAGCAGAGCGGGTTAGGCTTCTCTGGATCAGCAGAGAAGGAGTAGGAAGCCTATGGTTGTAGGATGGCATTTACCTTGCTCATATGGTCGATAAAAGGGCATTTTAGAATGCTGTTTATTTACTAGGATTAAAAGAGTAAAAGGTTACTGAGCTATGCAGCAAGGGTTCCAGCTTCCCTTGGACTGTGACTTTATCCTAACATCCCCACCTAAAACCTATCCTACTTTGGGATATGGCTGTCCTCAGGCCACTGGAAAGGCTAAGATGAAGGGTGGGTCAGCTGAAACCGTTTTCCAAAAAAATATGCCCCAAATCTTAAGGAGGTCTTGCCTGCAGTCTGCCCTCTATTCCTCCTGCTGACAACAATCAGGTTTTCCCTTCTCTCTTTAAGTAGTCAATTCAACATGAAGTTGGCAGCCCTGTTGTTTCCCCTCCCTGGCCCCCAAAAGAAAAGCAGACAGGTAGCATACAGGTAAGAGAACTGGTTTCTAAATATACTCACCTTTGCCCCAGAGTTTCCTGACCTCAGTCCGCTCACACAAGATAAGGAGTGTCATTGGGTTTTGCTGGAGAGCTCCTCAGTGGCTGCTGCCATAGGTTACAGGCTTTATTTAAAGTAACTGATTCCTCTCTTCTTTTCTAGTCCAGGCCCCGCACCCCCTTGAGAGAAGCTATCTCCCTGATGCATCAGTCTCCACAATACTTAAGTTCTTCCAGAACCCAACATCCCTCAGTAAGATGAGAACAAGTCAGTGCCTGTAATCACTGAGGGCACTCCTTCTTAAAGGTACGTTATTATTGATTATTGCTGTTACCCACACTATTATTAGTACTCAGTACTAGAGAAACAGTCTCCAAGACCTCGGGCCTGAAGCTCATGACTGCTAACTGCATACACATCTTTCCTTTAGTTCCGGTCCTGGGCTCCTCACTCAGTATGTGGGCAACTTGAACCGAGCCCCCGAAGCAGCCCAAGTACCACTTGCGCCACCTGTCTGTTACCCAATCCCATCCAGGGATCTCCAAGCACCAGCTTAGCCTCTGGCTCCACCTAATGGCAAGATGTTCCTTTCTCCCATTTCACAGGTGGGCAAACTGAGCTCCAAGGGATTATTATTTTCCAAAGTCACTGGGGGGGGCGGAGAAAGGGGGCCCCAAGAATGGACTGCTAGTCTTTAATTATTATTCCCAAATCCTGTCTCTTCTCCTTTCCCCTCTTCTCCCAGCTCAAAAGAGATAATTATGAAAATGTTAACACTTTTAATTTCTCCACTGTATTTGCTGCTAAGGAGCTAAAAGTACTTCACACATGATGTCAGGGATCCTCCTCTCTGGGTGAGTCACTAGAACGTCTGATGTATAGCCAGGGAAACAAAGCTGAGGCTTGATGCCTAAGCTGCATGGCAGGGCCCTTGGACAAATCGTTTTCCTTTTCTGGGCCTCAGTTTCCTCATCTGGAAGATGAAGTCTAGATGATTCCTAAAAGGTTCAACTCTTAATATTTAATGATCTATGATTCAAACCAGTAGCTCACCTTCTCTGATCCCTGCCCTCAACTTCCCTCTCCACTTTCACCTCCAGTTTCTAGTTGACCTGAGGACAAGAAAGGGTTGGAGAGGGAGAGTCTAGGCTCACCTTTAAATCCGGAGGCTTGCTTCTAGGGCCAGGGTTGGGGGCCATGGTAGCACCTACATCTGGAGTCGCTGGGGCCACAGCAGGATTTGCACTCATGACCTCTCCAGGTTTCAAGTCCGGGCCCGGCAGGTGGCAAGCAGCATCTTCCAGCCCGGCTCCATCCTCCTCCCGCTGTTGCTGCAGTTCGTCAGACTTGCACCTCTTCATGGTGAATATGGGTCGGTTTGGGGATCTGTCCCTTCCAGCGCTGCCGTCTTAAGGGAGAACTGTTCTCCCTCCTTCCCACCCAGAAAAGGAGTAATGAGTTTTAAAACACAAAAAGATGAGAAATTGAAATTTAAAGAAAAAAGAAGGGGGTGCTGAAGGAATAAGGGAATCTTGGTTACTGCCTGGAGCAATTCATTCTGATCTGGGTACCAGATGCCAGGTCACAGTCAGGGCTGGGCAGCGTAAGTCCTTGGGCAAAGTCATTGGAGGGGAAGAAGGATGGAAGACCCCGGTCCTCAAACTTTCTGCTTCAGGGCATGGGCTGCAAGAGAGAAAGCTGGACTGCAAACTGCAGTGGACGGCGGCGCATCCTTCCCCGCCCGCTGCCTCGCCTGGGCGAGGTAGGGCATGGCATGGGGCAGCCAGCCGGGCAGGTCCTCCTTGGCTGCCCTCGGCGCCGGCCGCAGCCCCCCAGCCCTGGCCTGCCCGGCTGCGCCCCTCCCCGCATGGAGCGGCCAGCGCCTCGCCTGCAGAGTGCCCAGCTCTCGCTCCCTTTCCCTCTTCCCCCTCCCTCTCCCTCTCTACCCGCCCTGAGCCTGCTGCAAAGGCACAGCTGCCAGAGCTGGAGAGCGGCGCGCACAACCTACCCCGCCCGTCTTCCTCAGCCCAGCAGGGGATGGCAAACTAGGACGTCGAGTGACATCGACGCGCGGCCAATAACCGGGCGGCAGGCCGAGGGGGCGTAGCCCAGGCACGTTGGAGGGTTGGTTGCACTGTGCATTTCCCCCCGGAGTGGGCTGGAGGGCGATACTGCTGCGTTTTAGCAATGCAGAGAGGAGGCTTAGGGGAGCGGGGAAGGGAGGGTGGCGGGAAGCGGCGGGGTGCGCCCGTCATCTCCTCGGGACAGCGACCCTACGTCTCTCACCCGCCAGAGAGGAAATCACTTGGAACCTTCTCCCATTCATACACAGGTTTTTGCCACACCTGCCTCCCCCTCGCCCCCCGACCTCGACTTTGCAAATTAGACCACTTAAACCATGTTATCGAGCTTCTCCTGGAGACCTGGAGAGGGTTGAAGGCCACTCACTGTCTCTACATCCTCTGCTTCATGCTGGACGGAGAGTCCTGAGAGGAATGTGGGCAACCCAAACAGATCCGTTCAAACTCGAGTGGATTCCTGGCTTTGAAAACAGCCACTCACCTGTGGGTGAACCCTTAACTTGTCCCCAGAGATTTACAAAGGTTTCAGTCATTTAAGATTGAGACGACCTGGCAAATGGCTAATACCTATTTATCAGGACCCTTTGTACGGTGTGAGAAGAAATCTCTTTCCGTCAAAGCCCACTGGGTTATTCAAATTGGAGTCCTCAAGGGTCACACAGAGAGTGATTCTGCTACAGGTTTCTAAGTGATGAGTATGGACTCACCTTCCTCTCAGAAGATGAGAATAACAGGAAGGATTCAATTCAAATCAACAAATATTTATTAAGCATGCTGGCTATTGTTCAGCACCTGGCATTGTGATAGGTGCCAGGGATACAAAGGGAATGAAAGAAAAGAAAAGAAGGAAGAGAGAGAGGGAGGGAGAAAGGAAATGAAAGAAAACTTCCTGTCCTTCTGAGAGTTTCCATTCTACTTGGAGGAAACAATGTGTTTATAGGACAGATAAGCCAATACAAAGAAGAGTCGGCCACCACAAGAGCATGTGCCACATGGACTAGTAGCAAATTTGGATAACTGTCACAAAACCAGAGAGAGAAATTCCTGTGTTGTCAGGTTGCTAGACAAGCCATTTGCAGATCTTCCTCTGGAGGAGTGCAAAAATTACAAATGTCAAAGCAGTTAGAAAAACATGAAGTTTGTCTAACAATCACAACTGAATGGATTGATTCTGGAACAACAATCACAAAAAAGTTGTTTGCATCACCCTGAATCCATAGAAAGAAAAGACATTATAATTTTTAGTACTTTTCCATATTGTACTCAGATTAAGTTTGATTTGAATAAACTTTCAATTTCCAATTTACTGTCAATCTTAGGTCTGACCTAAAATTCAGGTTAGTAAAAAACAACAGCAGCAGCAGCAACAACTGTAGGCCAATAGGATTTGGTAATTCAAAGTAATGAATGATACTCAACCTTATGGCATAATGATTGTTAAACGGCCTGCACATTCCATTCCAGTGGTCAAATCCCCAGGAGTTCAAATGTGCACCCACATATTTCTGAATTCTGTCATCACATTACAGCACAGACACCTATAGCCAGAGAAGTTTGGATAGAAAGTCTGTGTAAAGACATAAGTGACCTACAGCCATCTGTTTGAAGCTGATGGCAAATTTTTATTATTCAGAGTAGATTCTTGAGTACCCCTGGTAAATGGGACTGAGATTACTTTTACATAATTGAAAATTTGAAATTGGTATTTTGTTCTAATTTTTTTTGAGGAAAAAGCAAGTGCAGGCTGTGATTTGATATTTAAGATAAAACAGAACAAAGTTGTTCTCTTTCCCCACCCCCAACCTGTACCTTTGTCCTATTTCTGATAGTATTCCTTGCCTGAAACTTGGGCATTATATTTTATTTTCCTCACTCCCTAACTTCCAGTTGCCAAGTCCTATTGGTTCTGTCTCCCCAAAATCTCTTGTGAGTGTCATCTCTCTCAATTTTGCTACTGCCACTACCCTAAAACAGGTTCTTGTTATCACCTAATAATTTCTGGATTATTGCAATACCTCCCTTTATACTGTTGTCAGACTAACGTGCTTTTTTCACATATATGATCATATCATGTCAGTCTTTTTAAGACTTCTCAATGACTCCTTGCCTACTGAAAAAAAATTCAAGTTTTCACTGTATTATTATAATACATCTTCATATACTGCCAAACTAATCTTCCTTTTTACACATATCTGATCACGTCAAGTCACCCCTCTGTTCAAAATCAAACCCTATTGCCTGCTGAGAAAAATTCAAACTCTTTAGCCTGGCATTTGGGGATCTCCATAAACTGGGAGGGACCTACATTTAGAGCTTTAGCACATACTACTTCACTCCACATAGTTTACAATCCAGCCAAATTGGACTACTTGCTCTCCCACACACATGACCCCATGGTATGCCCCCTTCCTCCATGATTTTGCTCAACCCATTGTCTGTAATAAGAAAGCTGCACTCCCACCTCACCCCCATTACTACCTGCAGAAATCCTGTCCATCTGGGGCAGCTAGGTGGCACAGTGGATAGAACACCAGCCCTAGAGTCAAGAGGACTTGGGTTCAACTCTGGCCCCTAACACTTAGTAGCTGTGTGACTCTAGGCAAGTTATTTAACCCTGATTGCCTTGCCAAAAAAGAAAGAAAGAAATCATATCCATCTTTTAATGCCACCTTCTCCACGAAGCTTTCCTTGATCCTTCAGGCAGTAATGAATCCTTCCTCATGTGATCCTCAAGTAGGACTTGGTTTTAATATTTCTTATTTACTTTTCATGTATCACTTTGCATTATATTTATTTGTGTATGTGCCTATTCCCCTACTATACTATAAACTTCACCAGCCCAATGATCACATCTTATCTAATTTTTCTGTCTTCCCAGGACCAGTACAATGCTCTGTATATATTAGGTGCTTTTAATTTAACATTTAAAATTTAACATTTAATTTAACATTTAAAATTCTTGGTGACATTGACAGAAATTTCCAGACTTAAATTGATAGGAATATGACAGTAGGTCTACAGAACAACATTTTCCTTCCTCTTTTACCCCATCTATTTTTATCTTGGATAATTGTGGTTCATGGGTGAATGAAACTTGTATAATTAAGATACTGTAGTTCAGGCCTCCAGCAGAGAAACCGGAGCACCCTATTGGACACAAGAGAGTGGCAGAATTATCCCACCAGGATGAGTGACTTTATTCTTTGTGGGGGGTCCCAGTCCAAATGTAGTCTAATGCAAGAGGAACCTCCTGGGGTTTATCAAATTTGGCAAATGAGCAAGCCCTCAAATAAGTAAGACAAAGATCAGTTTTAGAGTCCTTTACCAGGGAAGCTACTAGTTCATTTACTTTGATAAATATCTAATTTTAATTATAGATGATTCTATGCTATAATCTATGCTATAGACTAAATAAACATAGAGTAAACTTTTCCTAAAAGGATTATTCAAGTCTTAGAAATTAAAAGGCCCCTTTTCCTTTCCAGAAAAATGGACAAAGGGAGAGTCATGAGGGACTTGAAGATTATCTAAATAGTATTCAATTTTCTACTCTGCAATAACTGTTGTTCAGCCATTTTTCAGTTATGTCTGACTCTTCATGACTCCATTTATTCTTGTCAAAGAGACTGGAGTGGTTTGCCATTTTCTTCTCCAGCTCATTTTATAGATGAGGAAACTGAGGCAAACAGTGCGAAGTGACTTGCCCAGGGTCACACAGCTAGGAAGTGTCTGAATTCAGATCTGAACTCAGGAAAATGAATCTTGCTGACTCCAGGCCCAGCCCTCTATCAACTGCATCACCTACCTGCCCCATATGCAATAATCACACATTTTTTTAAAAAGCATTTTTAAAGATCAAATGGCTAAGGAGATATTACATGAGTTGGCATGCTAGAGTTCTTTGAAGGTGGGAGACACTTTAAAAGACCTAGGCATTATAACACTTTGATCACTCTATCAATGAAAGCAGTATCAATACTAATATTCGCCTGTTATGACATTCTCCTCCCTCCCCATTTTTTCATTGGGAGAATTCTATTTCCACTCCCAACTCTCCTCAAGGTAACTGGGTTACATTTGAACTAGTAGGAGTGTCCTATGCAAATTACCTTCTGGCAGATTGGCCAAATCCTTGCTGATGTCATAATCCCACCACCTAATTATAGGCTTTTCATAGGCTACAATGAAAGAAGAGACAAGATAGAGGAGAGAAGGGAGGGAGAAGAGCTCATAGAACTGTTTGCATCATTCTGGTACTTCTATTTTCTCCTGCCATAGATGCTGTAAGGGATAAGTGATGAGTTTGAAAGGTATCATACCCTTCCCTCCACCTCAACCAATGTTCAAAATATTACTCACATTTTAAAAAAATTTATTTCCTTTAAGTGTAACAATTTCTTCAGATGAAGAGAAATGAACTATTTTATCAGGAAAGAGTGGAAGAGAAAAGTGGAATGTGTGTGAGTTTTCCAACATGGATCATGATTTTTCATCCTTTTCCTTTTCCGAGTGTGAAAGTAAGATATGGTTTCGTGACCCTGCTGTCCCCTCGCATTGCTCTTCCATTTCTGCCTTTCTCTTCACTGCTAAACATTTAGAAAGATTCACCTTTCCTCCCCACCGCTTCCATTTTCCTCCCTCTTCACTCAGCCTCTTGTAGTCTAGCTTTGAACTCCCTTATTCAGCTGAAACTGTTGTATCCAGGGTCACTGAACAACCCTGAACCTGGATAAGTCTTCTTCAAATGGAGACCTTTTTATTCGTTCTTTGTTCTCCTTATCTTTACATCTAAATTCATCCATCAAAGATCCACTAAAGTCAATACACTGTGTTCTATTTAACAAGGATTTAGTTGGGTAAAGAAAGCCAAAATGGCCATTCATAGGAATGTCTCTATGGCATCCAACCTATTATCACAGCCAACTCAAATGATTCCAATGCCAGTTGATTATTGATTGACCCTCAGCTTTTGCAATGAGCTACAAAAGATCAAATTAACAGGGAGCTTCTGTTTTGTAGGCAGGTAGCATGCATACATCCTCGGTGCTGGAAACTTTTCGTGTCCCAGCAATGGCAGCAAAGGCACAGAAACAAGCAAACCCATAGAACAGAAGGGTTCTGTGTAACATAAACTCAAACCCTGATTGTACTATGATGCCTAGAAGTGCCCCCAGGCCCGGTAAAATGGCTACATTGTATCTTATCTCATTGCTATAGGGAATCCATACAAACCTTTAGACAATTGAGTTACTTAAAGATGAAAATGCTACTTTTTTT